TATTAGATTTGCTTGGTCCAGGTCTGAGTTCAAGTCTCAGATACACTTGTTAATTTTCAGTCTTTTGATCTAATATTGACAGGGGAGTGTTAAAGACTCCCACTGTTGTGTGGAAGTCTAAGTCTCTTTTTAGGTCATTAAGAACTTGCTTTATGTATCTGGGTGCTCCTGTATTGGGCGCGTATATATTTAGGCTCATTAGCTCTTCTTGTTGCATTGATCTTTTTACCATTATGTAATGCCCTTCTTTGTCTCTTTTGATCTTTGTTGGTTTAAAGTCTATTTTATCAGAGACTAGGATTGCAACTCCTGCTTTTTTTTTTTTTTTTTTCTCTCCATTTGCTTGGTAAATCTTCTTCCATTCCTTTATTTTGAGCCTGTGTGTATCCTTGCATGTGAGATGGGTTTCCTGGATACAGTACACCGATCGGTTTTGACTTTTTATCCAATTTTCCAGTCTGTGTTTTTTGATTGAGTCATTTAGCCCATTTACATTTAAGGTTAATATTGTTATGTGTGAATTTGATCCTGCCATTTTGATGCTACCTCATTGTTTTGCCCATTAATTGACATAGTTTCTTCATTGTGTCGATGCTCCTTACCATTTGGTATATTTTTGGAGTGTCTGGAACTGGTTGTGCCTTTCTATGTTTACTGCTTCTTTCAGCAGCTCTTGTAAGGCAGGCCTGGTGGTGACAAAGTCTCTCAGCAATTGCTTGTTTCTAAAGGATTTTATTTCTCCTTCACTTATGAAGCTTGGTTTGGCTGGATATGAAATTCTAGGTTGAAAGTTCTTTTCTTTGAGGATGTTGAATATTGGCCCTCACTCTCTTCTGGCTTGTAGGGTTTCTGCTGAGAGATCTGCTGTGAGTCTGATGGGCTTCCCTTTGTGGGTAACCCAACCTTTCTCTTTGGCTGCCCTTAGCATGTTTTCCTTCATTTCCTGGTGAATCTGATGATTATGTGCCTTGGGGTTGCTCTTCTTGAGGAATGTCTTTATGGTGTTCTCTGTATGTCCTGGACTTGAATATTGGCCTGCCTTTCTAGGTTGGGGAAGTCCTCCTGGATAACATCCTGAAGTGTTTTCCAGCTTGTATTCATTCTCTCTGTCACATTCAGGTACACCTATCAAACATAGATTAGGTCTTTTCACATAATCCCATATTTCTTGAAGGCTTTGTTCATTTATTTTTACTCTTTTTTCCCTAATCTTGCCCTCTTGTTTTATTTCATTTCATTGAGTTGATCTTCAATCTCTGATATCCTTTCTTCTGCTTGGTCGATTTGACTATTGAACCTTGTATATGCTTTATGAAGTTTTCATGGTGTGTTTTTCACCCCATCAATTCATTTATATTCTTCTCTAAGCTGTTTATTCTTGTTTGCATTTCGTCATACCTTTTTTCAAGGTTCTTACTTTCTTTGCATTGGGTTGGAACATGTTCTTTTAGCTCAGAGAAGTTTGTTATTACCCACTTTCTGAAGCCTGTTTCCGTCAATTCATCAGACTCATTCTCCATCCAGCCTTGTTCCCTTGCTGATGAGGAGTTGGGATCTCTTGGAGGAGAAGAGGCGTTGTGGTTTTGGGTGTTTTCATCCTTTTTGTGCTGGTTTCTTCCCATCTTTGTGGATTTATCTACCTGTGGTCTTTGTGGTTGGTGACTTTTGGATAGGGTCTCTGAGTGGACGTCCTTTTTGTTAAAGATAAAGTTATTTCTTACTGTTTTTTAGTTTTCCTTCTGACAGGCCCCTTTACTGTAGGACTGCTGGAGGTCCACTCCAGACCCTGTTTGCCTAGGGATCACCTGCAGTGGCTGCAGAGCAGTAAGGGTTGCTGCCAGTTTCTTCTTCTGTTATATTTGTCCCAGAAGGATGCCCACCAGATGTCAGCCTGAGCTCTCCTGTATGAAGTGTCTCTTTGGATATATGTGGATCAGAGAGCTGCTTGAGGAGACAGTCTGTTCCTTGTAGGAGCTCAAGTGCTGAGCTGTGAGCTCCATTGTTCTGTTTAGAGCTGCTGGGCAGGTATTTAAGTCTGCTGCAGTAGAACTCATAACTGCCTTTTTTTCCCAGGTGCTCTGTCCTGGGAAGGTTGGTCTTTATTTATAAGTTCCTGACCTGCTGCTTCCTTTTTTCAGAGATACCTTGCCTAGCAAGGGGGTAGCCTAGTCACAGTCTGCCAGCAGAGGCATTGCTGAGCTGCTGTGGGCTTTGCCTGGCTGCTGTGTGAATTTCCCTGTGGTTTTGTTTATAGAGGTATAGTTAGAACTGCCCTGGTAATGGCAGTCTGCCTCAGTAATGGCGGACTGTCTCTGTAACAGCAAACTGCCTCAGTAATGGCATATTGCCTCAGAAATGGCGGATTGCCTCCGTAATAGTGTACTGCCTCAGGGTGGTGGTGGACACCTTGGTAATGGTGAACACCCTTACCCCCACAGAGCTGGACCGTCCTGGGTCCAGCTGTGCTTGCTGTGAAACTCTCACTCCTTTCAGATTGCTGGTCTTTGTGGGGGTGGGACCCACCGAGCCAAATCACCTGGTTCCCTGTTTCAGCACCCTTTCTTTTTCAGTTGAATGGGCTACTGTGTTTCCTGGGCATTCTAGGCGCCAGTTGAAACAGCGCCCAGATTTGTGTGAGTTTTTGTGCAGAGACCCACTGCGCCAGCTGAAACAGCCATGCTGGAGACTCCTGGTGCTTTTCCGCCCAGGAATCTCCTGGGGTATGGGCAGTAAAAATTCGTTTGTAAATGCACTGATCACTCATCCTCTGTGTTCTCACTGGGGACTGCAGTCCAGAGCTCTTCCTATTCGGCCATCTTGGATTATCTCCTGTACCTCGTTTTTTTTTTTTTTTTTTTTAAAGAGACAGATTCTGTCTCCATCACTAAGGCTGGAGTGCAGTGGTGTTGCCATGATAACCCCTTGAAACTCCTGGTCTCAAGCAATCTTCCCATCTCAGCCTGATGAGCAGCTAGGACTACTGGTGTGTACCACTACACCTGGCTAATTTTTAAAATTTTTTATAGAGAAGAGGTTTTGCTATGTTGCCCAGGCTTGAGTTTACTGTCTAATGTTAACTTTTGTTTAATATGTAGCTAAGAAGCTGTTGATTCAGAGACTCTTAACAATGTAGTTTTGGTCATTATATGAGAAATACAAAAATTTGAAAATGGAAAAATGTATTAAAAATTAAAAGAAAGGGAAAAAAGCTGTTTTCCAGATTTTGTATCCTCATGATATAAAACAGATAATGAAATGTTTATTTTTAGAAAAAAAGTAGGGTTAAAAAATAAGGGAGAAAATTCAGTATAGTCTTTGTTGCACAGAATGTTGACATAATCATTATTTTCTCATCATTAGCATTAATGTGTTATAATCTCTGTGGATTTTTTTTACACGTTATAGAATATGTTAGAATGTAATAGGACTAAAAACAGTAGGAGCAATTAGGAGTTTCCCATGAATTGACTTGTAATGATAATAAGAACATATTGCCAGGCACTGTCCTAAATGCATTTGTTTAAAATTTCACTTAATTTATTTGACAATTATGTATGTTCAGCACCTACTGTGATCTTTGCACTGTGCTAGACTTGGGGCTATTACTCTGAATCAAATCGACATGGTTTCTGCATGTTACCATACCCCAGATAGAGATCAGGGAAGGTTCTCTAAAGGAACTTTCTAAGCCAGGACCTGAAGGATGAGTAGAAGTTAGCTGAGGTAGAGTGGGAAAGGGAGTAGGAGGTCCTCTGGGGACATAACAACAGCCTTGGACGTATGTGAGTGAGAGACATTAAAAGAATTGAAAAATACATGTAGTATTCTAAAGCCTAAAATGTGAAAGGAATGAGTCAAGAAAGAAACTGGGGAGGTAGCCAGGGGCCAGATTGCAAAGGGTTTTGTAAAATGTGTTGTTACAGAATCTGGATTTTATATTAAGGATCTTGGGAAGCCATTGATGGGTTTAGAGAGAGATTTTGTTTGTTTCCTCAGACTGTGTTTTAGAAAAGTCACTGGCTGCAGTTTGGCAGGGGGGTACTTGGAGGAGTATACTTGGGAAGAGATAAAGGTTGACCTGGGGGTACCAACAATACAGGTCCTAGGTAATGATATGACTTAGGTGATTGTGGGAATGAAAAGAAGTATTTAGAGATACTTTGAGGGTAGATTTGGTGACTGGATGTGGAGTAGAGGGAAGAGCCCAAGATGACTGACTCAGATTTCTTACTTGGAGTGTCTTTACTGAATAGGGACCTAAGTGGAGGAACAGGTTTGAGAAGGAAAGTATTCTTGCCCTAGATTTGCAACCAAATCCCAGACTCTATTCCCAGTGAAAATCCTGGATCTCTCTGTATTCTGTAGTATTTGAAATGACATTTCTAATAGCAGTTTATAAAAGTGATTCTTGTTTAGTAAAATTCAGTCAAATGTAGCAATGCTGCCATAACCTGAATTTGTACTTTGAAGCTGAAAGGAAGATTGTACTTTAGCATTTGGTAATGTGTTACTATAGTCAATTTTATGAAACAGTTTACTTACTGCTTAATTTTTTAAAATTACTTGAAGAGAATAATGGCTAAGAAGCCATATGTGAATACCTATCCTAAGCTTTTTATTCACTTATAAAGTAACTTTATAACCATGTTTGTCCAAGTTTAAAAATAAAGTTTATTAAAAGAACTTATAAAAATTATTATTTTTTGTCTTTTATGACTCTGATTAGTAGAATGTTTACATTTATGCTTCAGATGGAAAAAATACATAGGATAACTACTTTAAAATAAGTCTGGCTTTCACGGGGTGTGCATGTATATCAAAACATCATGTTTTATGCTATAAATATATACAATTTTATCTGGGAATTTGACCTTAATAAGGTTGGGGCAGGGGAATTAAGTATCTCTTATGTATTCTTTATAGACTGAATATTCTATTACTTTGAATATTTTGTAAGTTTAAGAGTACTTTACAACCTACTTTTTTTTCTTTTTTCTTAGGCACTACAAGGGCCCCCAGGGATGGGGAAGTACCAGGAGTGGATTATAATTTCATTTCTGTTGAACAGTTTAAAGCACTGGAAGAGAGTGGAGCATTGTTAGAAAGTGGAACATATGATGGTATGTCCCCAAATAACACCACCATCACCCAAAAAACTATCTGAACGACTGGACTTATTTCAAAGGGAATTTGATCATCAAGTACCACTTTTTGAAAAAGTTTCTTTCCTTTCTGTTTTTGGGAAAATTTTCTTTTGATGGGGAGATATGTAATTTACTAATTAAAGTGAGATTAAATAACAAGCAAAAATTTCCACCATATTTTAAAGTTGATTGTGAACAAGATATTAAAAATCAGCCAAACTGGCCAGTTTAAATATTTCATAGTAATTCATATTCATCATGTGAACTCAATGAGTATTTGTTGATTGCTTTCTATTTGTGGTTGGGAATTCAAAATCTGTATACTTTAAAAAAACTTATATGTATCTTGACTGTCATGGAAAAAAGAGAATATGAAATTTGGGGAGAAAACAACAAAAACAGAATGATTGGTTTTCTTTTCTTGTCTGTTTTCTCTACCTACTTGATTCCAGGAAATAAATATTTGGGATAAATTTCCGTTTTTAAATGATTCTGTTAGATCTTTTTTCTCCTTATGTAACATGCTCTTCACTGGCAAGCTTATCCATTTCCATAGCACCCTATGCTATGGTCCATCATTGCTTTATCATGCTACTATAATTGCCTGTTTACAAGCTCTGTGATAGTAGTGGTCATGTGTGTCTTCTTTGATATTATATTCAGTGCCTAAAGATAGTGTTCAATAAATATCTAATCTGGAATTCAACATATCCAAATATGCATTTGTGTTCTATCCAAAAGAGTAATTCTTCATCATTTCTCTCTTTAGCAGCACCAAGATCTCAGAACAGTGAGATCATTATTTACTTTCTCCTTTCTCTCACATTTCACATCCATTTGCCAGATCTCATCATTTCTTCTTTTGTAGCTGCATTCACAATGCCCTTCTTTCACTTTCACCACCTCATTGTAGGCCCACTAGGAGAGCTCATATGTGGACTATTGCCGTTGATCTCATTTGTTCCAATTTCTTCCATCCTTCCCATTGCTAGTTGTGAGGAGCAGCTCTGATCATGTCTTTCTCCTATTCAGAACCTTCAGTGATTTCTTTTCATCTGCTAAGTTTAACATAACTACCTTTTCTGGGCTTAGCACCCATGATTCATTTATTCATTCATTTTTTTCCTGTTTTATTCATTAAACAATCATTTATTAAGTACCTACTATGTGCCAAGCACTATAAGAGGATCTAGGAATAGTGTGATGAATGAGATTGAAGTGCTTTTGAAGTCGTTTTTGTTTTTTTAAGAAGCCCTCTGCCCTTAAATGTTGAAAATACTCTACCTTTCGTTCCATTAAATATAAGAGGTTAGTATGGACAAAGTGGCATATTGCATATTATTAGTTACTGTGTACTCAATTCAGAGAAAATACAAATTAAAATAATAGTTATACATCATTTCACATCCATCAGATTAACAACAATTTACAGTCTGATAATTGCAAGAAATGGAAACTCCCATACACTGCTGGCAAGAGTATAAACTGGTATAATCCTTTTGGAGAGCATCTTAGCAGTAGCTAGTAAATTTGAAGATAGACATAACTCTGAACTAGCAGTGCCCTCTCTAGACATTTGCCCAAGAAAAGCTGATGCCCATACGCGTATGTAGAAACATATTCATTATAGTGTGAAACAGTGACAGAATGGAAACAATTCTCCTTTAGTAGAATGAATAATATACATTTTAATTTGTTTGTTAAAATGGACTTCTATACAGCAGTTGAATGGACTAGATTTATAGGTATCAACATTAATATGTCTTATGAAGTATGAAAAGTATAAAATTGTATAAAAAGAAAGTTACAGAAAGAAAGCATATGTACAGTATACTGTTTATGAAAAAATATGTGAAATGTTAGGAAAATACTCTCTGAAGCTTTTATGAAAACAATAGTATTTACATGTTATAGATGCATATACACATATCCTAGATGTATACTCAGGGGAAAGACACATAACAACTTCAGGACAGCTTAGGGAGGGAGTGGCCATAGGGACAGGAAGTTAGGGCTTTAATTGTAGATGTAATCATATATATATATATATATATATCCTTAAAGAGAAAAAAAGGGAGATTTGAAAGCAGTCTAGCAACAGTATCTAGATGATGTGTATATAAATAAATAAATACATGTACCTATACTTATGTAAGTAAATTTTATAAAAAAATATATATTTCTAATACAATTCTGATACTATAGTCTTTAATTTTATATTCATTTGAAATATTAAATAGTTGGCAGTTCTGTAAAAATGAAAAAGGCTTCAGAAAATAAAAAACTTCAAAACAGCTCTAAAACAAGGAAAACATTTCTCCATCAGTAACTGTAGTTAGGGTTCACAAACCTTGGAATTGCCTACGTTATTGGATCTGAAAACTTGATACTTACCAACAACTCAAGAAAAATAAATCTAATTTATTTATAAACAATGCTAGTTTTCTTTTTAAATCTAAGCCCCATAATTATCTTTTATAACAAGGAAACTTCCCAAAATTATTATGAAGTCCTAAAATCTTTTCAGTGATTATGGGTGGCAGTCATCATATCCTGTATTTTTATATTTTCCTTTTAGAAAAAAAGTTAAAATTTCTCAAGTTGGATAATAATTACCACAGTAAGATGTGTTTCTAGTAATACTACTACCTTAGAAAAAGTAGACTTTTTTGATCAAAACATCCAAGATGGCTGATCGCTAACGGCTCGGGATTGTAGCTCCCAGTGAAAGCACAGAGAACGAGAGGACGTCACACTTTCAGACGAATTTTTGTCGCTCACGGACCAGAAGATTCCCAGTGGAGGAGCCCCACGGGTCGCCAGTGCGACTCTTGTGGCTGGCACAGTGGTTTTGCCGGCGCCTCGTCACAGCAGCTCTTTGTGCAGAGTAAACGGGAGATTCCCGGGCAGAAGAGCACCATCAGTCTTAACGCCGCTGTTTTGGCCGGCTCATTGGGTTGCTGGGATTCCAGCACTGGGAATCAATAAACTGGTCATCCACTCAGAAACCCAACTAGAAAGGCAATAATCGTAAAGACGACAGATGGATAAATTTATAACAAAGGGAAGAAACCAGGCTAAAAAGGCTGAGAATACCCAAAATCAGAACCCCTCTCTCTCTACAGAGGATTACAGTTTCTTATCAGCAATGGAACAAGCCCTGATGGAAAAGGACTGTGTGCCATTAACAGAAGTAGGCTTCAGAAGGTGGATGATAAGAAACTTCTGGGAGTTAAAAGAAGTTGTTCTAACCCAATGTAAAGAAACTAAGAACTTTGAAAAAAGGTTTGATGAAATGCTAACAAGAATAAACAATATAGAGAGGAATATAAATGAACTAACGGAGTTGAAAAATACAACACGAAAACTTAGCGAAATATGCACAAGTTTGAATAGCCAAATTGATCAAGCAGAAGAAAGGATATCAGAGGTTGAAGACCTACTTAATGAAATAAAACGAGAAGACAAGAATAGAGAAAAAAGGATAAAAAGGAATGAGCAAAGTCTCCAAGAAATATGGGACTATGTGAAAAGACCTAATTTACGTTTGATAGGTGTACCTGAATATGACGAAGAGAATGAATCCCAGCTGGAAAATACTCTTCGGGATATTATTCAGGAAAACTTTTTAAATCTAGCAAAGCAGGACACTATTCAACCCCAGGTAATACAGAGAACACCACAAAGATATTCCTCAAGAAGAGCAACCCCAAGGCACATAATCGTTAGATTCACCAGGGTTGAAACAAAGGAGAAAATACTAAGAGCAGCCAGAGAGAAAGGTCAGGTTACCCACAAAGGGAAGCCTATTAGACTTACAGCAGATCTCTCAGCAGAAACCCTACAAGCCAGAAGAGAGTGGGGGCCGATATTCAACATCCTTAAAGAACAGAACTTTCAGCCCAGAATTTTATATCCTGCCAAACTAAGCCTCACAACTGAAGGAAAAATAAAATCTTTTATGAACAAGCAAGTACTCAGAGATTTTATTACCACCAGGCCTGCTTTACAAGAGCTTCTGAAAGAAGCATTATACATAGAAAGGAACAACCAGTATTAGTCTTTCTAAAAATATACCAAAAAGTAAAGAGCACCAACATAAAGAAGAATTTACATCAACAAATGGATAAAATAGCCAGTTAACATCAAATGGCAGTAACCCTAAATTTAAGTTGACTAAATCCCCCAATCAAAAGATACAGCCAAAACGTAATGGTATGCTACATCCAGACCCATTTCACATCCAAAGATACACAAAGACTCAAAACAAAGGGATGGAGAAAGATTTACCAACCAAATGGAGAGGAAAAATAAATAAATAAATAAATAGCAGGAATTGCAATTCTTGCATCTGATAAAATAGATTTCAAAGCAACAAAGATATAGTGGTAAAAGGATAAATGCAACAATAAGAGCTAACGATCCTAAAACCGAGATACATAAGACCCATAAAGAGATTTAGACTCAACGAGACAGAAAATTAATAAGGATTTTCAGGACTTGAACTCAGATCCGGAATAAGTAAACTCAATAAATATTTATAGAGCTCTCTATTTTAAATACACAAAATATACATTCTCCACCTTAAATACACAAAATATTGATCAGCCATTATTCATACCCATTTTTAGAATAAAGCTACATTCCCACTCTCTCTCCCTCTTTTTCTTCCTTCCTCTCCCTCACTCCTTTTTCTTTCTTTCTGTCCAAAAAATAAAAAAAGTAGACTTTTTATTTTTGTCACAGTATATCCAGTTTCTTTGATACTGTGATTAATGGGCATATTTCATGCAAAACAGAGATCCTCAAACCTCGTAATCCCCAGCCAAATCTCTGTTTGTTGTATTCCTGTGCCTGCTGCCCCAGAGAAATGTGACTGGTTTTTTGGTTGGTTCTTTGCTTTACTTCTGAGAGTTTGCAGAAAGTTTAGTTTGTTCTCATGCAAATTTTTGCATTCATCTGTATGACTGGAGCAA